TTGGCTGCTATGGGACATCCTGCAAACTAGCTAGCAAACCAAACATAATTTATTAATGTGTATGCATACATGTTATTAGCCCCAGGCTTGGGCTTCTGGCCCCAGGCAGGCAAAGATGAGTGACAGAGAGTGGCAAGTGGAACTCCCCCTCCTCAGTGTTCAGGCCCAGAGGAATTGCTTTCTCGGTCTCATCCTGAAAGAATAGTCATTTCCTGGGTTTCATACAACAGAGTAGAACATTCCTCTTCTCCTGCCAAATCTTACAACACCTAACACATCATCCACCAGGCCGGTCGCCAGGCCCACAATGCTCAGGGGCCACTCTGCATAAATACTTGAAGTCATTTACAAAACATGAGAAGATGGAGCAATGGGATATATAGGCCATTCAGAGACAGTCAGCAGAACACAGCCTGTTTTCCAGAACATCTGTGTGGAGGGGGAAAAAAGTAGTAAACCAAAAGAGTGGCAATCAGTTTTGTAGCTTCATAAAAATTAATGAAGTCTCGATGCTAGCTATGTTAACTAAAATAGAAATTTTGCCTAAGGACAAATTTAAGTGGTAGAACACACACACACACACACACACACACACACACACACACACACACACACACTTTGCTTTCTATTCCCTATGCAGGTCTTGAGATGTCATTTTACTATCAATCAAACAGGGCATAATTTTCTGATGACCTATTCTTTTTTTTTCTGATTCAAAGCAACTTTTTATAGAGCTACACTTTTCCCACCCCCTTCATTCTTCCCCTCTCCCCTTTGACCCTCCTCTCTACCCACCATGCTCTCAATTGACTCATGAGATCTTGTCTTTTTCTCTTTCCTAGGTGGGTCCATGTATGTCTCTCTTAGGGTCCTCTTTGTTACCTAAGGTTTTCTGGAGTTGTGGCCTATAGGATGGTTGCCCTTTGCTTTATTTCTAATATCCACTTATGAGTGAGTACATGTTAATGTTTCTGGGTCTGGGTTACCTCACTCAGGATGGCTTTTTCTAGTTCTGTCCATTTGCCTGCAGATTTCAAGATGTCTTTGATTTTTACCACTGAGTAATACTCCATTGTGTAAATGTCCATTTTCCTTATACATTCTTCAGTTGAGGGGCATCTAGGTTGTTTCCAGGTTCTGGCTATTATGGATAATGTTGCTGTGAACATAGATCAGAAAATGTCCTTGTGGTGTGAGTGTGCATCCTTTGGGTATGTTCTCAAAGGTGGTATTGCTGGGTCTTAAGGTAGATTGATTCCCAATTCTCTGAGAAACCACCGTACTGATTTCCAAAGTGGTTGTACAAGTTTGTGCTCCCACCAGAATTGAAGGAGTATTTCCTTTACTCCACATCCTCTTCATCATAAGCTGTCATCAGAGTTTGACATGACCTTGGTGATTCTGATAGGTGTAAAATCTTATTTCAGAGCTGTTCTTATTTGCATTTCTTTGACAACTGAGAATGCTGAGCATTTCCTTAGTCTTCCAGTCATTTGAGATTCCTCTGTTGAGGGTTCTCTGTTTAGATGTGTCCAATGACTGTATTCTTAAGGTGCCCTTGGCTTTGGAGAGAGGTAGCCACAGAATTTCAACTCTGTGATGTGGCAAACATTATGAACTTCTATGTGGGATATGAAGAGAAGATTCTAGTGTCCAGGAAGAACCAGAGAACCCAAGACTAAGATTCTATCCCAGTTGTTTGCTTTGGAGAGTTCTGTTGAAGTCCCACTCTACCCCTGACACACACACACACACACACACACACACACACACACACACACTGCCTTTGCACTGTAGTTTAAATTTATTCCCCCACTAATCACTGCACAGGGCACTAGGGCCTTGAAATTTTTCTAGAAACCTTGAGTCTTCCTCCAGTATTTCTGCAGGACAGGCTCATGTCATTACAAGCTGCTCCAAGGCTATACCTAACTGAATCCTTTGCTTCCTTATCTTACCAAAAAAAAAAAAAAAAAAAAAAAAAAAAAACAGGATTCAGGAATTGATAAAGATGAATGGGTTTGTTTGCAGTTTGGGCCAGAATGAAAGAGGAAAAAATATTTGTTTGCTCTAGTTTTCCTATCTTAATCGTTCAATTTATAAAGGGCAAAGTGGAACAAAAGCCAGAAACTACATGTAAGTAGATTTAGCTGTGAGCTAAATTGTCAGAACTGTGAGAAATTTTCCTGAGGGAAATTCCCTCCTAGAAACAGGGCAGCTTCAAGCTATTCTTATTCTTAACATATTTTCTGGAGAAATTTTAATTTTTTAGGGTCCATGTCATACTGTTAGGTGACCTCATATTCCTAAGAAGTGACTTAAATGACCCAGAGATAGCCACAGGCAGAACAAGACAAGGGTAGGAAGAGAAGAGAGGGGTGGGGTCATCTCTCCCTATTTTCTCTGCACTGGCCAGAGATTACAAGTCAAAATGAAGCATTATAGATTGTTACAAGGCTTGTTTATCAGGTAGGAGGATGGCAAAGTGCTGCTGAATATTTGGGTATGTGATGTGCAGGACTCTCTTGGTACCCTAGCCCCAGGTCCTCTGTCTATAGGCTGGACAGAAAGAAAAGTCAGATATAAATGCAGATGCTTCCTCTGTCAAGCTATTGAAGCAGTCACTACCAGGCAGCTCAACCATGGGGGTAAATGCCACAGAAACACTCCTAAGTAAAGGCCCTGCAAGGCTACAGCTTGGTCTTGGGCCGTTAGGGAGTCTTTGAAAGTCTCCAAGGAAAGCTTGATATCATCAGATTGGGGTTTTAGGGCAAGGCACACTGGAGACAGCCAAGAGACTAAGCCAAAGAGACAAAGGAGGCCATTGGGGGAATTCTTTCCCCAATGGGGACAAGGGGGTGGCAGCCATGTCAGCTTCCTCTCTGCCTGCCATCTGTGCTGTCTTTGACTTATCTGCTCTCAACTTGCTCCAAGACATGAAGTCAACTCTACAAGGTGGCACTGGAGACACAGGTCCTGTGTATAGAGAATAATATTCCTCCTGCCAGGGAATCACTTTTCCTTCAATGTGTGAGACAAACTCTGAAATATCTTTCTTTTCTATCACCATCATAATAAACTTGGTATAATAGGAATTCACAGCAAAATACTCAGCTTTTATTTCATGTGTTTAAAGTATTCAAGATGACTTTACTTTCTGTGCCTTCTATGGAGTCATCTGTATCTGTCCCCCTCAGGGAGTCAGGGGATTCAATTGTTCATTTGCCTGGTGCCTGCCTGCTTTCTGCTCTCTCCCTCCCCCCCCCCTTTTCTCTCTCTTGTTCATTTTCTCCTTGTGTCCTTCCCTCATTTCTTTCTTTCCCCTTTTCCTTTTGTTCATAGAAGAATGGATGATAGTGCACAGCCTTGTCAGGATTGGGCTATGTAGCTGGATTTAAATTAAAAATCAAAAGTAGGCATGTGAAGAACCATGTGTCACAGAGACTTCTTGTTCCAGGAAGGGCAAGGGCTAGGAAATGGAGTTTTCTGAAAAGAGCAGGAAATGTGTGAGCATTTTTCATTTCCAAATACCTCAGGTCAGGTTTGTTACCCTGACCCAGTGCAGTTGGCTGACATTTTGCTGTATGTGCCAGGGACTCCTCATGGTGTCTCCTGGAGGATATGTAATCTCTCCCCAATGCATGGGCAACATGTATAGAAGTATATATGTGTGACTTGTCAGGAACTAGACATGCTCTCTCCTCCTACAGTACTTCAATGACTATGAAGTTTAAATCTTTATGTAAGATGACTTTAATTATCTCAAGACAATATTTGTTTTGTCCCTGTTTGAATTCTATGCATGGCTCCCTTTCCATGTCTGTGTGTATTAGTGACTTTATTTCACAGAAAGTCACATTTTTTTCTGATAAGAATTATTTAATTCTTATATTAATAAAGCAATAATAATATGGTAAAAATCATTTTGCTTTAATAATTATACCTTATCATGACATATTCTGGTAGAGTTGGAGATTGAGAACAAGTGAGAAGTCTTCCTGCTCTCTTGTGTTCACTACGAAGCATTGCTAAATGGAATTCTCCCAAACCAGAGCCTTGGGAGAATCAACAAGGGCCTCTCCCTCGCTGGCTGTCCTTCAGCTGTAACTCCAGTGGCTGGTGAAGAATGCAGCATTTCTGTAGCACGTCAAAATTTGGTTTGGGCATCAGCGACACGAGAACTTTCTGAACTTCACTTTTCAATAGGAGATCATGATTTAAAAGGAAAGCAGACTCAGTTGCAGATGGTTTTATTATAAATTTTAGATTCCAAAGTCTGGAGATTTACCATGAGATTAATAATCCCATGATGGATTGCCTGCTGGTTTCATATTTAATATGTTGCTGTCCATATGCTTGTAATCCCAGCACTTAGGAGATGGAGGAAGGAGGAATGGTTTTTTATTGTTGGTCTTTGTTTTCTTTTGTTTTTTTAAAATAATTTTTTATTTACATTTGAAACAAGCTTGTTTTACATGTCAATCCCAGTTCCCTCTTCTTCCCCTCCTCTACTGTCCCTCTCCCAACCCCTATCCCATCCCCTTTCTGCTCCCCAAGGAGGGTGAGGCTTTCCATGGGGAGCCTTCAAAGTCTGTTATATCATTTGGAGCAGGGCCCTGGTCCTCCCCCCATGTGTCTAGGCTGAGAGAGTATCCCTCTATGTGGAATGGGCTCCCAAAGTCCATTCCTATACTATCTGAGGCCCCATAGATGGCTCAGTCCTCCTAACTAACACCCACGTTCAAGGGCTTTGAGTTGGTCCTATGCTGGTTTCCCAGCTATCAGACCATGAGCTCCCCCTTGTTCAAAACAGCTATCTCTGTGGGTTTCTCCAGTCTGGTCTTGACTCTTTTCCTCATCACTCCTCCCTCTCTGCAACTGGATTCCAGGAGTTTGGCTCAGTGTTTTAAACTGAGTCCAGTCTATGCTTTTGAAAGTGATTCTGATATTAATAATGTTTCTCTTTCTTTCTCCTTTCCTCCTCTCCTCTCCCCTTGCAGGTGGTTCAGAAATGTGTTCCTTTCCTCATCAGGCATTTGAAGGATTCAACCCATAATGACTTCATCCTAAACATCCTCATAGAAATAGCAGGCTACGAGCCGCTGGCTTTGAGCAGTTTTCTACCAATGCTGAAGGAGATTGGGGAGAGATTTCCCTACCTCACTGGACAACTGTCTAGGATCTTTGGTGCTGTTGGCCATGCTGATGAAGTAAGTTTGGGCTCTCCCTTTCCTCTTTTTCCTTCTTTCCTTTCTTCTTTCTTTCCTTCCTTTCTGTCTTCTCTCTTTTCCTCCCTTCCTCCTTCCTTCTATCCTTTGTTCCTCCCTCCCTCCTTCCCTCCCTTCTCGCCTCCCTCCCTTCCTTCCTTCCCATCTCCCTGAATTATGTAGAAGCACCTCTAACCTTCATAGTTGTTCAGGACTTCTGAGAGTTTCCATTTCTCTTTTGAAACTTTGGTGTTACCATGGCTTCTGGATCAAGGTAGCAAGGGTCTGTGGAAAGTTCCAGAATTGATCATTTCATTGCTAGTGTGTCCCTTGAGGTAGAAGGAGGGTTAAAATAGAAGGAATTTTTTGACATATTCAAGACCACTGTGTAATGCCAACAGCCCTTAGCAGGGGTTCCTCACATTATCTATTGCAGCTGTGCTAACCCTGGAGCCTGTGAGCAAAGTGATGTCTCAGAGACACCCATCCCAAGAGCCCATAGCTACCACGTCACAGAGTGCTCTGAGCGCTCTGTGTGATGTTGTTTGGGAAAGATAAATAAATATTTGTGGATGTTTAAAAGTTCTAGTATAAATATTTGCATAAGGGAGTCTTGCAAGAGCAGTGGGACTTAAACAGGAAAAGTGCATCTAGTAGTTCAGATTTTAAAGGCTCTGCATGTGAAAGCACAAACACATTGTACATCTCTGATGACTTTACATGGGGATTCAGAATTCTTATTTATTTATTTTCAGAATTCTTATTTATCGATAAAAATAGAAATAAATGTTTTCACTTATCAAGTAAATATAAAATTGCCCAATTTTTAAAAGAAATTCCATAGTTTATCTAAATTTAGTGCCTTAATTCTGTCAGAACAGGCCTGGAGAGAAGGCTTAGTCACTAAGAACATGGGCTGTTCTTCCAGAAGACCCAGCACCCACATGACAGCTCACAAGCCATCCATTACTCCAGGTTCTAGGGATCTGACACCTTCTGTCCGAGTCTGCTGACCTTGTAGTCCATTGCAAGGGCCAGAAAGTTATTAAAATTATTAAAAATCTTGTGATTCGAAAGTTCTTTGTTAGCTTCAAAGTTGGGATTTTAACTCATTCTAAAGTCCATGAGTCTCAGGAATAAGCAGTGAGTTAGTGCTGAATATGAGTGAATTTGTTCTTTCCTATAAAGAAAAGTTTGTAGTCTAACACTGTCAAAGGTTAGAGCCAAGCAGTTGAATGAATCTATCTGCCTGTGCATTTCTATCCAGGCCCTTTGCAGAAAGAAACAAGGCATTCCACTGAGGCCCTTGGAGAGTTAGCTTGAGGGCTGACATCTGGTACAGCATCCTGGAGCACCTATGAGAATATAATATAGAGGGAGGAAGAAGCAGAGACTTCTCTCTAAACAAAACTCTACTGCACTCTGTGTGGAGGACTCAGGACATGGGAAATTAGCAGACCGTGGTAACAAATGAAACATGAAATGACAGTGGGTGTTCACTATAAAACAACCACATGACCTCTGCAAGCCCTGGGCCTTTGAGCTTCTCCTTTACCCTATATTTTATCTTATTTAAAAAATAACTTAATTATATTTTCCTTCTTGACACCCAAGTAAACATTTCTGTTGTATTCAAGAGTTCAGCATATCAGGGATTCAAAAGATTATAGAACACAGAAATGTTGAACCAAATTCTGGATCTTGTTTCAAATTTTGAGATGTGCAAACCAGAAGCTGAGGGGAGGGAGCCTCCTGTTAACTGTTTGAATTCCAGCAAAAGAGTCCTGAAAGTATGTAGTCGTCAGCCTAAAACAGCCATGGGGTAGAGTCAAGCATTATTAATTGGCTCATGTCTCACCTACTCATCTTCTGAGTCTGCATGAAGCCAGGCATAAGATCTGTAGATGACTACTGGGAACCAGAAAGGATGTGGTTGTCTGTTACACCAGGGTCCATCTGGACTGACAAATTGTTTCAACAGCTTGATAGCAGCATCATAATTTTGCCATCTGTATTGACCAGCATGGGAAAGTTGTATGCATGCAAAACAACACAAAATCCTACAATACCTGTTTCCTCTACCCCACAAAATTAACTCAGAAATCTTTTTTTTCCCCAAATTAAAAAGAAACCATGCTAAATTGCTGTGTCATGCTCTGGTCATTGTGGGATGCTGTGTAATGACTCATACATGGACCATTTCTAAGCATGTGTTTGCATCTGAAGCCCAATTATTACACAGAGAGTTCAAATGGAAAGGACCAAAGGACAGAGAAACATGCTTCTAGGCCATCCCTGTTCTATTCAGTAAAGGTCACATTAGTGTTCTCCATTGCTTGGGAATTTACCCTCCTCTTTAGGGATGCTCAGCTGAAGAAAATACACACATAGGAAATAGTAATTTAATAGACTAAGTCTAACCATAGCAAAAAATAAAAGGATCCTTTATTCCTTTCTCAATGAGGAGACTGAAATGGAGTGCCCTTGACACCAAAGGACTCTGACTCCATGATAGGTGGCCTAAATAAAAGATAAGTCTGAGTGCATCATGAAAATGAGTGGTCAAGATCTCCAGGCTGAAAATTCCCAGAAGTGCAGCTGCAATAGGGTCCATTCATTTCAGTGGACAATGGGATGATCCCAGCAAAGATATCTCATGAATGAGACTGCTTACTGCTTACTATGGGGCCATCTGCACAGTATCAAAAGGTGACCAACAGCCTGGGATCCCATGCCACCCAGCCTCATTTTCAATCCCAACTCAGTCACCTACCAGCCATGTGGCCTTGGGTACATTAATACAGCATTTCTTGACTCCCTTTCTTATCTGCAAGCTGGGAATTAGTGATATTAGTCACCTCGCAAATTTGTTGTGAGTTTAATGAGTTAAACTGTAAATCAGTGTCCAGAAAATAATAAATAACCAAGAGATGTCAGCACTTTTTGACTTCCCTTGTTGTTGGCTGATTCTTTTTCATTATATTTGTTTGTAGACCAAGCTGAAACTTGGGCCTAAGACTGAAATTAGGGAAGACAACAACCATATAAATGGCTGATTTTGACATAGGATCTGCAATTCTGAATGGATGCATATATGGGACAAGTCAAATTATGGGTGAAGAGAATTAGAACAAACCACCAGGAACAGTAAAGATAGAGGCATCAGTAAAGATAGAGGACATACCATCACCTTTTTGAACAAACAACCACTCTATGTGGTATCTGCTTTATATTGATATTTATAATGGTAGACATCATTTCTGGGGAAAATAAGAATAACAGAAATATAAGGACATATTTCATGAGTTTTGTCTTTAGTTCTTGGAACACTAGAAACACACTGCTTTCTATAAATGGCAGGCAGTTCTAGCCCCCCCACACACACACCAGTTAGTATGCTCTCATAGCAATTTTTATCTTTAAACTCTCATTAGGAAGATGTAAAGGGTGTTAAATTGAATCCAAAGTAGGGTGGCATTCTTATCCATGGAGGATTAAAAACTGAACGTTGTTTCAATTTCAGATGATTTTTTTTATTCATTTCTTTCTTCATTGGAGTCTTGTCTGTGCAAAGGGTCTCAGCACATTTTTAGGGTGTCAAGGTCATCATAGCTCTTCTTCCTAACTAGTAACTGTTGTAATGTTTTTTTTTAAGTGGCTTGAGAAAGATGCCATGCTACAGAGTGCCAGTGAAGAGGTTTTTTATTAAGGGAAAAAGATTGAAAAAAGGGGAAAGGGGAAGGGGGAATACTGGCCTCCAGGGACAGGAGAGGAGTGGGAGAGAGGAAAGAGAGATGGGGGGGGAGACAGAGGGAGGGATGGAAAGAAAGGGGGAATGTAAGGTGGACGGAGCCCTTTTTAAAGGCATCATAGTGAATAGGCATAGGTGGTGATCTTAATGGCAGCAGAGGGTGTATCCTGTCAGAACTCCAAAGGCAGGCCAGTAGAAATGATTAAGTACTAAGAGTAACCATGGAAAGGACTCCTTCAGGAATCCCTTTTCTTGTTGTTGGGTTTTATGGGTTTTTTTTTTTTCTTTCTTTTTTTTTTTTTTTTTTTTTAGAAGCCAACTTGAATCTGTGGGTTCCCTCCACCTAAGTAGTCTCAGATCAATGGACTAAAGCTATTTATCTTTACCAGACATATCCTCATTAGAGCCTGGTCTCCTTTGAATGCTGATCCAACATGTGGCATGTGCCCTGCCACCATATTTTGAGTTTATTTGAGACCTAGGAAGCAGCTGACCTATGTATAATAACAAAGGTGAAGTGATCACATAGTCAGAGGAAGGATGCTATGGCCATTTGCTGACTCCCACCAGGCTGCAGCTGTGAAGAGTCAAGTGTCATGCCCCAAAGTGCAGTCACTGCCATTGTGGGTGTTAAGTCCTGTACCATCAGTCTTGTTTTTCTAACTGGCTTGAATACGCTGGCCAAACACCAGGATATGGTTATTACATCCTCTCTGGGCTTAGAGTCATGGACACTTTTCAAATAGAGAGATGATACACGTTTTGCCAAGGTTGCATTTCTGGGACATCCGGTGGCCCTCCATAAAGAGCTTCAGGAGGGAAGGGAAAGAATGACAAAGGTAACTGAGGAAAGGCAGGTGACTGTCCTCACTCTGGCTGGTATAAAACATTCTGTAGTGCGGAGTAGCTGGTCAAGGTACATTTCCAACAGGCAAATTAAGACTGAAGAATCTGAGGGGGGCACCAGAAGGCAGGAACCTCAGTTTCCCCAGCATAATGAATTTAATTAAAAGAAGTAGGCTTTCTAAATTTAGAAGTTAATTGTTGGTTAATTGTTGGATAGCTACCTGCTATCCAAGTCTACAAAACTATCTTCAGCTAAAGAAGATATCTTTTGTTCTAAAAGGGAAATAATTTTTCTTCCTTCCTTCCTTACTTTGCATTTTTCCTGGGAATTTAACCTAACTCTGTACATGCCAGGTGTGAAGTCAGGGTCCTCCAGAGAAACAGGACTGATAGATAGAATGTGTGT